AACTTGTCTGAGAGGCAGAAATTGCTTATTGCTCAAGGAACCCCTAGCAACCTCTGGATCAGCCCTATGATCATCAATGTAAGCTGGTAATTCTCCTACTGAAGACCGATTGAAAGGATCCCTTCTCCACTGACCACCAGTGTAATATGTTCCCTCTCCCTATGCACACCAATGGAAGCTGGTAATTCTCCCCACTGAAGAACAATACTAAAGGATCCCTTCTCCACTGAGCAATAGTGTAATGAGTTCCCTCTCCCTATGATCATCAATGTAAGGTGGTAATTCTCCCACTGAAGACCAATCTAAAGGATCCCTTCTCCACTGGCCAACAGTGTAATGAGTTCCCTCTCCCTATGCACACCAATGGAAGGTGGTAATTCTCCCACTGAACACCATTCTAAAGGATCCCTTCTCCATTGACCACCAGTGTAATGAGTACCCTCTCCCTATGATCACCAATGTAAGGTGGTCATTCTCCCACAGAAGACCAATCTAAGGCTACATTCACATCGGCTATTACAGCTGGTGAGAATAGTAGTGACAGGAATCTTTGGATTCCTTCTGTGGCTCTAAGTGGATAGGTGCGGCCACTGGCCCGTTTACAATAATGGCAGGTCACCAGCGGTCGCATCTATTCACCTCTCTCCGCCCAGTCAATGATTACCTATGGGGATCTCTGCTGGATGCAGACAAAGTGCATCAAGCAGCAATCACTGCAGCTAATTGGTGGCTGTGCAGCCAGCAGTGAATAGCTGTGGCTACTGGTGACTTGTCATTATTGTGAATGGAGTCGGCAGCTTCATCTACCCACTGAGCGCCACAGCCGAAATCTGATTCCTGCCACTCCTATTCGCACCAGCTCTAATCTTTGGTGTGAATGTAGCCTTAGTGTGGATTCACACATTTTTCACAGTTAATTGACACAGTAGTACAGCGGTTCAGATCAGGTTTACACCAGGTTCAGGACAGGTTTAGATCAGGTTCAGATCAGGATTTTATCCTGTTCACAACTGATGACATGTGCAGTTTAGAAATGGTTCCCGTAGAAGTCAGTAGCCTGAAATCCGCACGTGAACCGGATTGCACTACTCAGAAGTTGGACAGGACTCTTTTTCAATCCGCACTACGAGTGCACCGGACATATGTGAACAGACACCATAGGATGCAATGTTATTTCACATGCCATGCGGATTGGATGCAATTCAAACCACATCTGATCCGTATATATGTGAACCGGCACTAAGGGATCCCTTCTACACTGACCACCAGTGCAAGGGGTTCCCTCTCCCTATGACCACTAATGTAAGATGGCCATTCTCCCACTGAAGAGCAATCTAAGGGATCCCTTCTCCACTGAACACCAGTGTAACAGGTTCTCTCCCCCTATGATGATCAATGTAAGGTGGTTATTCTTCCACTGACCACAAATCCAAGGGTTTCCTTCTCCACTCACCACCAACATATGGGTACACTTTTCTATGGACCACCAATGCAATCGCATACTATTTTTGGGGGCAAGTAATATTTGTTTCCTTTCAGTATTACTGAAAATAATTTTGTTATATATCCCTGAGTGTCAAATATTGTAAGCATACCACATGGTTGCACCAATGTACCATGAGCTGTAGTTATAGTAATTATTAGCAGGGGTTCAGAAACTATGATCTAGCCCAGGGGTGGGCAAACTTTTTGACTTGAGGGCCGCAATGGGTTCATATATTGGACCCGGGGGCCGGACCAAGAGTAGATGAATGATGTGTATGTGTGAATTAATATAAATTAAATTAAAATGTGTAACATTAAATGTTTAGATTAATTTAAGGTAGAAAAGCATAAAAAGAATTATTTTACAAAACTTTTATGCAATGTATTTCTTTCATAAAATAGTGCCTTCAATCCGTACTCCCCCACAGCCCCGCCCCCCACTAGCTGCTGGCCGGCCCAGCCACTACCATGCCATCCATAGTAAGTATAGTAATATTCCCCCATAGTAAGCATAGTAATTAATCCCCCATATAGTAATTCATCCCCCATAGTAATTCATCCCCCATATAGTAATTCATCCCCCATAGTAATTCATCCCCCATATAGTAATTCATCCCCCATATAGTAATTCATCCCCCATAGTAATTCATCCCCCATAGTAATTCATCCCCCATATAGTAATTCATCCCCCATATAGTAATTCATCCCCCATATAGTAATTCATCCCCCATATAGTAATTCATCCCCCTATAGTAATTCATTCCCCATATTAATTCATCCCCCATATTAATTCATCCCTCATATAGTATTTCATCCCCCATAGTACTATTCCCCCCCAAGTAGTAAGCCAAGTCCCCCCTGTGTCAATTTACTTACCTTTGCTCCGTGCGTTCCTCTCGCCGTGTTCCCGCGCCGTTCCGGTCTTCAGGGCGGACTGTGAGAGGAGCCTAGCTCCCCTCACGTTAGTCACGCTGCCCCGCCTACACACATCCTGACAGCCAATGTTTGCCTGCCCTGGCTGTTTTTTTTTTGGATCACGCTCCGTGGGCCGGATTAAAAGGTCCGCCGGGCCGTATACGGCCCGCGGGCCGTAGTTTGCCCATTGCTGATCTAGCCTGTACTTCCCCAGCCTGACTGCCCCTGGCCCACCCTGTTTATTCGTTAGATTTCAATCCTTTCAATCATGGAGGCTCAGCATCACATGTAGGCATTACCTATGATGGTCTACATGCAAATGCAATCTTCCTAGGAACACCCACTCCTCCAGAGAAAAAAGGCATTTTGCTATTTGCATAACTCCTCCCAAGAGCCATCCCACTGCTGGTATCACAGCTGATGTTTCTCGAGGAGTACTGCGGCAGGGTGTTTTGATGTTTTCAGGAAACTATGTAAAGCACCCTGCTGGCTCCTCCCATCAGCTCTGATCTACCTGCATTGCATAGAGAAGCACAGAGACTTAGTAATGACGTCACTGGGTCTAAAATAAGATATTTATTGGAAACTGAAATGTGTTACTTAAAAATGTCATTAGCATGTTAATAAGGGGAGAAATGAGAAACCATGGAAGGCAAACTATAAGCAGATTAGACTTCAGCTTTAAGGTCCGTGGTTTATGGCTATGGCTGTAACTTAGTCATATGATGCTCTGAGACACACACAGTACCAGGAACCTACCACGGACATTACAGAATAATTGACATAAAGAAAGCAATTTCTTGACTTGATGTAATTACAAGTACACTATCCTGCCAGACTGCACTCCTATCCAACAGTGACATCTGGAGAGTTGGCTATTTAAGTGGTCCCTGCGAGTATTTAATTATCTTACCCTTTGATACTCGCTGGTGAGGGAAAATAGAAGTCTTATTATATATTTTTTTTTTACTAAATTAAATCTCGGCAATCTAGGCTGGAAATTCCAGCCAGTGTAAAGAACAAATGTGAAAACCTTGGTGCGGGTCTCAAGGCTTTGGACAGAATTCCCGCAAAACTCAATTTTGATAAAGTTAATATGCAATAAAACAGGTTATGAAAACTGAATTTCATTTTATTTTAACGTAACACAACTTTATTTTAACTACTTGTTATTTTTATTAATTTTGTATCCTTTCTAAAAAAAAACAGCCTTTGTAACATACCATTAAAAGGAACACTCCAAAAAAAACAAACTATGTTTAATGCCCATATCTGGGCTTGTGACTGTTCCCTCACTATCCAATCACAAGCCGGGGCAGGTCCTCTTTATGATCCATGGGATCAAATAAAATATTTTTGTAGCTATTGAATACAGTTATATTACTCCGCTTGGATTTTCAATTAACCACTTTTTGCAGGCAGTATTGCTCTTGTCATATTGCCATATTTTTTACCAGGTCAATGATGACCTGGGCTCAAAGGAAGTGGGTTTAATGGTGCTGGCTATCAGACAGAGGACATTTAACATCACAAAAATTTACCACGGGGGAAATCTCTTCAGGAAAGCTGACTATACCAGGTTTTGATATTTTATCTTTTAATGGGCTATTCATTTGTATCGTGTTATTTTTGGCTGGATTTCTGCTTGAAATCAGAAAAGCAATTAAAACTTGAGAGCAGTATTTACTATTTCCAGGTCTTTCCAAAACTAAACTATAAAGCTTTGATTGGAGTTGGATTTTAAATATTTAGTTGACTGGGGCAAACAAGAAGCCTGAGGCAGTGCTTAGCTTCCTCAAAAATCAAAAAGCCCATCATGCTTTGCATTCTAAATCTCATATCTGTAACTTGTAAATAAAAAAATGTCATTTACTAAGATAAAGTTTACAAATATTTAAAAAAGACATAAAATTATGGGAATAATGGAAAAGGCGGCGCCACCATCTAAGTTTAGATTTTTATTAATGTACTTTTTTTTTAATTATTATTTATTATTCATTGTTTTTATTTCAATTATTTCTTATTTTACTTATTTCATACTTTTCAGTATGGTTATTATGCTAGTTTTAATATATTTCCCCTCAACAGATCCTCGGATATTACCATTATTTCTCCCTTTAAGCCCAGACTTATTTGTATACAATATTTAATATATCCGCAATGTTTTTGATATATTTACTTTCACCTTTTTTTTGGTCAATTTTCTAATTTTCATTCCTGATTTTCAATTTTTAACAATTCTTTTTCATTCAGATTGTGTATTTTGTGTCTAAGTTTACATCCAGATTCAATATGCCATATCTCCATGAATATTTATGAGGAGATCCGCCCATGTTCCTCCCCTATACATCCCGATGGTTCTTTCATGCTTCTAGGCTTGGGGTGTTTCAAAGCCCTGAAATGCGTAGCCATGCCTCTATGGGTGGCATCATCCCGCTTCCTTGCTCAGACACTTGACATCATCGAACCTCCAGTTTCTGGCCTGGCATTGCACTCCACGCTGACTTCATTGGCATCAGAGGCGGACTGACCATTCGAGCACTCCGGCACTGCCCAAGGGCCCGGGGTCAGTAGGGGGCCCCATGAGATGCCCCTGGCACCTTTCATAGGCTTTTTTGAGTGTGGTTTGAGTGTGGGTGAGGACACAGGGGCCCTATGATCCCCTATTGCCCGGGGGCCCCATGAGTTGTCAGTCCACCCCTGATTGGCATCCACACACCCTGCAGCTTCCTGCATCATACTCATTGCCTGGCAATGCTTCCCTGGGGAACTCTGCAATATCACTTCTAGATATTACTCTGCCATAACCAGCAGCTTCCCTGAGGAGCTACGCAGATGCCCGCATGACTGATGGACATGCAGAATATCAAGGCTAATACTTACCCCTAATCCATAAAAACCACCACCACCCTTCAAACCTTCCCCACCTAAATGAGCCGCGCGACTCTCTTTTTGGTGTAAAACCGGCCATAGCAGCCATTTATTTAACATAACTCTAACATAACACTTCTTACAGTACACTCAAATACTAACTGACAGTAATGATCCCAACCGGGTCCAAGGTCTTCAAAGGCACCATTACTCACATCACAAACTCGGCTGTATCTGACACCCAATGAAAAGGCCCCCAGCCGCTACTACACCGCCTCGGGGACAATACTACAGTTACGTAGTCCCAGATACAGCCAATGAACTCCCACCTTACCAACATGACCTTATAATTGGGAAGGAACACCCTACAATGGGCCCAACCCATAATCCACCAAAGTGTCACTCCAGCACTGCCTTCAAAGACCCATTGATCCCTTCCGGCTGCCATGACAAAACAAACAGACAAACACCTGGGGACACAAAAAAGCCGTTTCTGAACAAGAAACAAACTTAAGGAACCCACACAAAACAAACAACAGGACAAACACAAAGAGCAAACCATAACCAAAACAGCAAAACAAAAATACGAAACAGCTCCAGGGAGGGAGGGCGGGAGAAACCACCTCCGTGCTGGCACAAGGTCCGACTGACCTCCGACAAGACCCATCCCCCCTCCTAGTCCTGGCAAGACCACCCCTCATGGTTGCGTACTCCAATCAGGTAAGTATCCACCCCCTTACCTCCTGCATATATTCCCACCCAAATACACGCTCCGCCTCGTCTGCATGCCCCAGTCATGCTGGCCCTCCCTTTTAGCTTTGCTCAGTCCAGGATTTGACTGGATTGACTAACTGTGACTTAATTCAAGTGAATACATATTGGTTTTAATTCCTTTACTTTAACCCCTTCAATACCGGGCACTTATACCCTCTTCCTGCCCAGGCCAATTTTCAGCTTTCAGCTCTGTCGCACTTTGAATAACAATTGCGCTGTCATGCAACACTGTACCCATATGAACATTTTATAATTTTCTTCACACAAATAGAGCTTTCTTTTGGTGGTATTTAATCACCACTAAGTTTTATTTTTGATAAATAAAACAAAAAACACCTGAAACTTTTGAAAAAAAAAAATTACTTTTCTTCGTTTCTGTTATAAAATTTTGCAAATAAATAACATTTCTTCATAAATTTAGGTCAAAATGTATTCTGCTACATTTCTTTGGTGAAAATTTGTATTTTTTTTTTTACTGTTTTCTTTTTTAGCTTACTGTGACCAAAGCAATATAATGTTACCATAGTAACATTGAACTGTATTTCATTGATATTTGTATTCATTGTAACTGAATGAAACTGATTCATTCAGTCTTTTGTTGTGATTAGCTGTGATTGGGCAAAGCTGATCACATGATACAGATGGGCTGTGATTGGCCCTGTCTGTATCATGTGACTGCTTTGACCAGTCACAGCTAACATCATAAGTGTATACAATGGACGCCATGACAGGAAGCCATCCATTGTATGCAATTGACATGTGATCTGCTGTGATTGGTCACATGACACTGGCAACGGGCTCTGCTGTGTCCCGTGGACACAGCCCGTGACAGATCGCACCACTACGTGGGCCCCACGGCCGCATGAGTGGCTTGTTTTGACAGGATGTCATATGACGCCCAATCACAATGGCGAGTGTCCTGCTCGGCCATCAATCTGCTATAGGCCGGGCGGGAAGGTGTTAAAGTGGTTGTAAAGGCTCAAGATGTTTTACCTTCATACATTCTATGCATGAAGGTAAAAAACCTTCTGTGTACAACAGCCCCCAGCCCCCCCAAATACTTACCTGAGCCCCATCACGATCCATCAATGCTCCTTCGTTCCATCCATCCATCGTGCACAACAGCCTTGGCTGTCTCGGGACTCTGCCTCCTCATTGGCTGAAGACGGATTACATTTTATACCACACACACCAACACTCTTGTATGGTATGAACAGGATACACAGTGCAAGTGATCAATGCAGGCTCAACGCCACTCAATGCACCCGGTGAGGATGAGCCCAGAATGTCCCCCTCCCCAAAGTACAGACTTAGGCAGGCCATAGACGGATCGAAAACCGTCCGTTAAAAAAAAAACGAAAAATCGGTTGTTCAATCGGCCGACGTTACCACCATTGGTAAAAAAAAAAACATCTGATTTTCGTCCCATCTATGGCCAGCAAATATAATAGCGGTGTCCCTGCATAGAGCTCCGCTATTATATTTGACATTTAAAAGTATAGCAAAGTTGCAACATTGTATCTGTTTGTATCCACTTCGGATACAGATGGTTCTATTCGGATACAAATAGATACAATGTTGCAACCGTAATACTTTTAAATGTCAAATATAATACTGGAGCTCTCTGCAGGGACACTCCACTATTATTTTTGACATTTAAAAGTATTGCGGTTGCAACATTGTATCTATTTGTATCTGAATAGAAACATCTGTATCCGAAATGGATACAAATAGATACAGATGTTCTTGTTTTTCTTTGTCTTCATCTTCTGCTTCTTTTCCTTCTTCTTGCAGGTCATGGCTCATGCGCATTTTTTTTTTAATCGGTAAAAATATCGGCCAATTTGCCCATCATTGCCGTGAAAATCGGCCGATCGACAAAATCGGCGTTTTTTTTTTTTTCCAACATGACCGATTAAAAAATGTGTCAAAACCACGATAAATGTCCGACAAATTCACCCACTAATGATCCGAAAATCGTCCGATTATACTTTTAGATGAATTTTTGGCCGATTTTCGACCCATCTATGGCCTGCCTTACTGTACCGTTCTTTCAGTTCTCTGCCTCTTCTTTAAGCTGCCAAGAGTGGGGAAAGTAAGCTCTGTGTAAATTCTAAATCAATCTAATCTGATTTGGCACAGGGCGAAGGACTCTCTCTGCCTTCATTTGATAGTACATCTAAAACAAGCCTTTAGCAGGCTTCAGTTAGCTGTAGCACTACTCCCACGAAAACTGTAATCTCCCCCATCCTCCCCCAGCGGATACAAGATTTAAAGTACAGTAGTCAATAAAATAATATGAAAAAAGCATATCCCTCTATAGTGTGTGCTTGTCTCATTCCAGAGCTTTAAGTGTCATTTCTCACTGCTGTCTTGTTCCTTTGCTATCAGCATAAGTCACTTTTGACAAGTTTTCCTGACACCAAGAGAAAAAAGGTGACAGGGGAGGTCCGTGTTCCTGTGTGATTCCTGTGCGACTCAGCGCGGTGCGATTTTCAACCTGTCCCAGGGAGCTGGGACTGGCCGATCTGCCATCTGATCCTCTGCTGCTCATCCTGTCCTACCTGGACTTCTGGGAGCTTCTCAGATTTTTGTTTGGTGGCTTATTCATTGAGCTACTTAAGGTTGATACCCATTGTTACTAACCTAATTTGATGCCAGGCAGGGGTGGACTGACAACTCAAGGGGTCCCTGGGCAATAGGGGATCATGGGGCCCCTGTGTCCTTGCCCAAACTCAAAAACGCCTATGAAATAGGTACCAGGGGCATCTCATGGGGCCCCCTACTGACCCCGGGCAGTGCCCGAGTTTCCAAATAGTCAGTCTGCCCCTGATGCCAGGTGTAAGTGATACCAAGGAGCAGTCCCTGTATGCTGTGAGGGTCCCACTAAGAGGTCTGGAGTCCTTCCCTGGGTGTGTTAAGTGCCAACGGAGTGCCTCATCCTTACGGGTTCCTAGATGACCACCAGTGCCCTTCTGATTAATACATACATGCGCAATAATATTGTGTGTCCGGTGAGTGTAAGCACCCCTCTTTTCCTTACCACGGAAGTCACGAGCACCTTAATATTTATGCATTTCTAGTGAGAGTGACCTGTACCCCCAAACACTGGATTGTCGATGCACCTATGTGAAATTTTCAACACGATTATTTCTGGACTTGTATTCATATACGTTTATAGTGTACGTTTATGTCATTTTATCCATCTGATCTAAGACGATACACTGTTGCCACTTGATAGCGCTCACCATTAGCGCTTGAATCTATCACTTATCACTTTATATTTTATTCATTTACTTATATATTGTAGCGCTGCATTCTTGATATATAACCTGTTTATTTGAATGGGCTGAAAATGCTCACAAGTAATACATGCCCTCCTTTTCAAAAATGCACTGCACCAAATTACATAGTACTGCGGTACAATGCGATCCGGGGCAGCCAAACGTACTGCATTTGGTATCTGCATTTGGGGTGTCACCCACACCAATTCACATGCCCAGCGTGTTTTGAATGCAGTGCAGAGAACATGAACAGAACGCGGGTTTCCCGCACTGCATTCTGGTGTGAACAAACCCTTAATGACGCACTTATGCCCGAGGCCTACACTATTCCAGATACAGGTGTACCTCAGTTTACGAATGCCTCGGTTAACGTAATTTTCAGTTTACGAATGAAAATCCATTCAAAATAATGCCTCGGTTTACAAATTTTTTTTGCAATACGAACAGATTAATTGGTTTTTAATGCATTTACAATTTTTTTTAATCATGTCCCTGTACAGTACTATGCCTTTAAAGTGCACTTTATAAAGTGTTTTGAACAGATAAGTCTTTTTTTTTTTTCACTTTTTTTCTGACCTCCGGAACGGATTAATTGGTATTCAATACATTTACAAATTTTTTTTTTTAATCATGTCCCTTTATGCCTTTAAAGTGCACTTTATAAAGTGTTTTGAACAGATAAGTCTTTTTTTTTCACTTTTTTTCTGACATCCAGAACGGATTAATTGGTATTCAATACATTTACAAATTTTTTTTTTAATCATGTCCCTTTATGCCTTTAAAGTGCACTTTATAAAGAGT